CCAGTAATGGAGAGGCATTAGAAGAAAATGTAGATTATTATTAACAAAACACCGTCCGCATACACAATTATTAGCCTATGTGTTCTTCCAGACTGTGTCTTACATGTATGCCAAATTTCATCGAGATCCGTTCAGCCGTTTTGGAGATCATCATCATCAGCTCACTATACGTCCCCACCGAGGGGCTCGGAGCCTACCCTAAGTTAAGGGTGATTAGGCCATAGTCAACCACGCTGGCCTAGTGCGGGTTGGTTGACTTCACACATATCTTTTGAATTTCTTCTCAGATATGTGCAGGTTGCATCACGATGTTTTCCTTCACCGTAAGAACGTCGGATAAATGTACATATGTAAATCGGAAATCGAAAAACACATTGGTACATGGCGGGATTCGAACCCAGGACCTGCAGATTGCAAGTCAAGTGCTTGACCACTGAGCCACCGACGCTCCTGTTTTGGAGATACCTTCAAACAAACATCCATCCATCTAAACATTCGCATTTATATTATTAGTAAGATTTCATTTACTGACCTCGTTTAATTTTGTCATTATTTATGTCTGTTTCTTCCGCCTTCAAATTACCTGCAACATAATAAACGAAATTGGTAATCACTGACCTTCTTTGCTTAATTTTTAGTATGAAACTTGAATTTTGTGATAACTTTACCTTGAGATGCTTGCTTTAGAAGTTGTATCATATCCGGTCTTTCAATATTATTCTTTTCTCTATATTCCATAGTATCTTTTACTAGATTTTGAAAGAAACTAATATCTTTTTCTTTAAAAACTTTGAGGCCCAAATTCTGAAAAATAAATAAAAAGTTTAAGATATAAATTATTGTGTCCTTCAAATAAGTAAGAGGAAGTTTTCGTTTCGTAGTAATCGTTCAAAATGTCAATAAACAACTAAGCTGTGTTGGTAAATTACTTTTTTTATAAAATTTAATTTACTTACAGTGGGTTTCTAAGACCTAAATCTCTATATAAAACATCGTCACCCTTGTCTGTCGTCTTTGACAAAACGAAGACAACAACATGTTTTAACCGCAATTTCGGTCCCAGAAACCCATGGTTAGTCATTAAAATCAATAGACTCAAACGAACGCTCAAAATGAATCGTTACCTTTGCCAAACTAGGGAAATACATTGATAAAATAAGCTTAGTTCTCTGTAAAGTTGTCATTTCGAATAGAGATTGTCCAGTTTTGTAGAATTCGTTCTCTTTATCTTTGACGGAATTCACTTGGCATCCGAAGGCGCAGGAAGCGATAACGTCGTTGCTGTAGCGACGCATCAAATCGCACACGTCTATATCTTCTAATGCGTAATCTACGAGATAAGTATATTCGATAAAATAAAACTTTTAGTTTTGTAATGTCAATACAAACAATTTTAATTTAGTTTTCAATTTATCTACATAAGACCCTTTAGAAGTTATAACCTTTGCAATGTGAAACTAAATATTTCCGATGTATCCGGGTGATAATTAGTGTACAGAACAACATAGAAGGATTTTTCCTTTCTTATAGAAGACGCCGTAGAGCTGGATCTGCGGGAGCTACAAGCGATGGACTGACAGGAGAAGGCGCAAGACAGGCGACTTTGGCGATTTCTTGTGTCGGAGGCTAAGACCAACTTTGGGTCGATGCGCCAGCGGAGCAAGTAAGTATAGAAGACTAGCTGTTGCCCGCGACTCCGTCCGTGCGAAAGTTAAATAAACTTAATAAGCAGGCTATGTGTTCTTCCAGACTATGTTCTACATCTATGCCAAATTTTATCAATCGTTGTGCTGTTTTGGAAATACCTTCTAACCATCAATCCATCTAAACTTTCACATTTATAATACTAATAACAAAGACTGACTAATATTCAATGATATTTACGCTTTTACCTTTCAAGTATTCCACCATACTTTCGCTTATTTCTGTCATAAACGGCATCATGAGTCTCATCTTGGATCCAGTGAAAGCAGGACTTAATGTGGTTCGCATGTCCCTCCATTTATCACCTGTTAACAATAATAAATAAACAATTGGGTCTTACTTCTAGTATTTTCGGTATCATATGTAAAATTTAAAATGTCATTAGGCGGAATAAATATCGATTATTATCGTATTTATCACATCTAAACCTTAGCTTCCAAATGAGAACAAATTCAAACACATTTTTAGTGCTCTGATTATAACGCAAGATGGCGCTGAAACAAATACACAATATTTCAAAATCAAGCATCGATTGATTGGTTTTGTAATGGTCATTGTTTATGGCGCTTTCAGTTTTGAACATTTGGTTTATGAATGCTGACGTACCTTTCATGAAGAAAAGGCTGGAACCGATCAAAGGCTCTACATCTTCACTAAGGAATTGTCTGTGGTCGACGAAATGGTCGAAATCTTTCACCGTAATGCTCTTTATAATTTCGGGGTCCCTGATGAGTATTATCGGCGTTGTCCCTTGTGTGTAACCAATATACCTTAAAATAAAACGTCAATTATATTAAAAACTAGTTGTCGCCCGCTATTCTATCCGCATGGAATTAGACAAAAACGTAATGAGCAGACTATGTGTTCTTCCTTTGTTGGCTCTGATGACTTTGAGTTCTACATCTGTGCCAAATGTCATCAAGATCCATTCAACCGTTCCGAAGATACCATCAAACAAACATCCATCCATCCATCTAAACATTCACATTTATAATATAATATTAGTAAGAAGTAGGATTAGTACGAAATAATAAGTAAGAAAAGATTTAATTGAAAGCCAATGAATGAAATAAATTTAACCAAAATATTAATAATGTTTTCTTGAAACATTAAAAAACATACAATGACTTCAACAAGGACAAATATAAGAAACTTAATCATAGAGTACTCTTCAATAACTGCAGTCGTAAACAACATTATATTTATTTTAAATTATCGTACAAGAAAAAATCGTCTCGTCAGACAAACGGCTGACCTTCGTACATTTTATTGCGTGTCTTTAAGTGGGCATTATATTGCGCTTTAATATGATAAAAAAATTTCTGTTGGGTATAAAATGATTAGAAGTAATATTTATTAAATGTAAATGAACATTTAAATTGAACTGAATAATGTAGAGCACAGTCACAATGGATTTTCGATGATAGAAATAAGGAAATATGACTCCATATAATCGAATAAGGGAAGAGAAAGACAAAATCTTATATCTTTAAATGAGCAATTCTTGTATATTTATAATTGGAATCTCGGAATCGGCTCCAACGATTTTCATAAAATTTAGTATATAGGGGGTTTCGGGGGCGATACATCGATCTAGCTAGGAATCATTTTTAAAATATGTCATTTTATTCGTGTTTTATCGATAATCAACTTAAACATAAACTTAACTTTTTCTATCGGTAAGATCGAAAAAATATAATACTAGCGGACTCGACAGACGTTGTCCTGTCTACACGTCTTTAATTTGAATAAATTAATATGAAGTTAATATTTGATGAAAATTGTGAATCTAAACCATTCCCAGATCCCCTTGAACACACACAAAAAATTTCATCAAAATCGGTCCAGTCGTTTGAGAGAAGTTCAGTGACATACACACTCACAGAAGAATTACTATATATAAGATATCTCTCTCTTGTAAATATATATATAAAAGAATTGCTCATTTAAAGATATAAGATATTGTAAGTTTTAATGTATTTTTTATTGCATACAAAACATTACTTACCTTTCATCTGGGAATTTTTTATAAACTGCATCAATGTCTTCAACAAAGTGTTTCTTTCTGAACGTACTTTTTAATGCGTTACCAAAAATTGGTACACCAGGGATGTATTTTATACCACGTTTTTTATACAAATAATGTATACTTTTATGTACATAAATACAATATACAATTAATAATGTTACAAGAAATATTAACATCTCTATAATCATTGTACATGTGTTCTTTTTAGACCGGTCCGTTATAATATGTTACATCCCGAGTGATATTGCGTCGCAGGTTAAGATGAACGTAAGTTATAAGCGGAAGCGGATTAACTTATTTTTGAATTTTATCTTTATACTGAAGATAGAGAAAAGAATATTATTTTTTATTTTGATACTAGAAATCCTCAAATTGTAATACGTTAATTGAATCATCTATAAATTTTTTCAACGTAATTATATAAAAGAGGTTATGTGTAAGAATATGAATCCAGATATGTCGACTGATAGAGATGTATCGAGGAGTATATGCTATGCTGATCCCTGTAGTGACAAGGGCAGGATTATGATAATAAGTTTCAAAAGTAAAATAAGTTAAATAACAATTAAATTAATTATAAAATTGCCACATTTATTAATAGACGTTGCCATTATATTTAGAATTACTTAATTAATTATAATTATATGTCAAAAGGCTTATAATCAAAATAAGGTTATGACAAACTTACCTGATAAAAACATAGTATAATGAATCGTGTAACATAGACCTGTACACCCTAGTGTCAGTATACGTTTATTCGTAGTTGTTCAATTGACTAAACAGTCAGTGTAACCTTGTTCGTCACCTCCGAAATCAATTGAACGATATTGTCCTCAATTGTAAGTTTTATGAACTTGTTTTTCAGTAGCTCTTGGTAAATAAATCGTTAAAATCAATCAAATATTTTAATGTACGTATCCACTGATTGTATCTTACTTTTTACTTAAAATTATAAATGCGGATGTTTAGATGGATGGATGAATGTTTGTTTAAAAATATCTTCGTAACGCATTATCAGATTTTGATGAGATTTGGCACATAAACAGAACGCAGTCTTGAAGAACACATGAGCTACAAATTATGTTTTTTTTTAAATTCCGAGCGGACAAAGTCGCGGTCTAACGCTCGTATAGAAGTTGACAACATGTTTTATTTTTCAAATTTCACTATTTCGCTTCGCTATATATATAAAGATATATATATATATACATATATATATATATAATTCTTCTGTGAGTGTGTATGTCACTGAACTTCTCTCAAACGACTGGACCGATTTTGATGAAATTTTTTGTATGTGTTCAAGGGGATCTGGGAATGGTTTAGATTCACAATTTTGTCCGCTGGACAATGTTTTTTTAATTAATTTTTAATTTATTAGTAGTTGTTGATTATGGAATGTTTTACATTGGATCCGACAGACGGCGCTACCATCGCAGTGTAAATTTTTTTCAGTCAGTTTCAAATTAAAGACGTGTAGACAGGACAACGTCTGTCGGGTCCGCTAGGATGTATATATATCATGAATGTGCTGTATATTGCAAGTCTGTACAGTGTACAGCGAGACATTGTGTGCGTTTATTTATGTTAACAGAGCTTTGTGCGCGCTAATCTGTTCCATCTAGATTGAAATAGAACTGATCTTACAGCTGTGATAATACTATGGTTTGTAGATACAGAACGCAGAACGCATCGTATACAACGAATTATGTTAAACGGCAAGTCAATATTGATAGATGAAAATGTAGTAACGAAGTTATCATTTTTATACTAAACAAATACAACTAGACTTTTGTTTCATCTAACTTCTTATTACTCCTACTTATAAATACGGATATTTAGATTCATGGATGGATGTTTGAAGGTAACTTCTTAACGGTTGAACTGATCTCGACGAAATTTGGCATAGTTTGTAAGAACACATAGACTACTGATAATATTTTTTTAACTCCTTACGCATGGAGTCGCGGGCGACGGCTAGTATAGAAATATTTATATGATCAGTTTTAATACAAAACCTAATTATTTAGAACCTTAAAGTTTAGTCATTTTTTAGGATTCCGTATCTCGAAAGGAAAAAATGGAACCCTTATAGGATCGCTTTGTTGTCCGTCCCTCTGTCTGTCAAGACTCTTTTTTTCAAGAATGCGTGAAGATATGAAGATGAAATTTATTTAATATTAAATATTGCATCATGATGAATATTAGAATCGAATACTTAATCTACAAATGGTACGAGCAGTTAATACTAAGAAAAAAACCCAAGTAAGCCCCCGGGCTGTAGATGGGAGTGCAATAATCCTCGTTCGCAAAACTTGATAACCATGAATAAGCGTCGTTATTCTCACGGGACTGAGAACGATAAGGCAATTCCACAGCTTTGTTATGATATCCTGGTACCCGAGCCACAATATGTTACCTTCAATGTTAACTAAATAACTCCTAAATATTTATTTTGTGGAGAACCTTTTTAGAGATGGAAATTATCAATATGTTATTTAAAAAAACTTTATTTAAGTAAATAACATATTTACTAAAAGTACTCAAAGAATGTAATTCGCTTACCAAGTTACGTAAGACCAGTAATCTGCAATTATATGTGTTGTTATGACAAATTTTGGCTTAATTGTATTTCAAGCGTCTAAAAGTAGTAAGAAAAGGTAAACAACTGTACATAATAAATATTTGAAAAGTATTAAAGCTTTGAAATTACAACTACGTCTCGCGATTCCAATGCATCGGAATGACTACACGTAGACAATGAATAAATGCATGAGCTCGCTGCAACGTAACGCCGTTGTATTCCATTGTATATGAAACTTCACAACTGCGAGTGTAAAATACAATGCTTAATGGTTTCACGCGACGCGACGGTCGCATCAAATATTTTAATAATTAATTTCTACTTATATATCCATTCTCTAAAAGCCAGTTTTTCATCGTTATTGGATAACATCATGGTTGTTCATACCGTGGGTTTCTGAGCCCATTTAAAACATATTGTTATCTCTGTTTTGTCAAAGATAATGACAGGGATGACGATATGTTTTATGCAGAGATTTAAATCAGTGGACCAATGACTAAAGTGTCATCTTTCGAAGGTCGATGTTTTGAAGACACCATGGTTGATAGAAGAGCTAGCTTTTTTATATCAAAAGGTGGCAAACGAGCGAGCGGCCACCTGAAATCGCTGAAATAGCGAAGTGACCGTTGTTCATAGACATACGAAAATTGCCTACCTTTAATCGACGGAGGAGAGGATGCACAGAAAGAAAATATTTTCCCTTCCCATGCATCCTCTCATCCTGAAAGCCCACTTCCACTTCCCATCCTTTCCTTATAAGAAAAAGGGTGGGAAGGGAGCAAGGGAAAGCTGTCGATACTGTTACAACTTATAAAAAACATATTATAAATGGCATTTATATTCAACATGATAGTGTCTAATTAGGTTGAATTATATGATTCATTGGATCGAATAAATCCATCTACAAAATTATTGTTTCATTATGATTTGGTTTTCTATACCTTGTAAACGAACACAAGAAGGCTTTCTTATAATTTTCTGCTCGAAATAATGTTTTTTTTTCAACAAGAAAAATGTTGAAAAGTTGATCTCTGTCACTCCTTTGTCGTCATTTATCTTATGCTGCGACGTGCAAGTATTAGAAAGCAAGTCACGGGCTGACGGTGTCGCGGTTATGTGAGATAATATAGTGATTTATGTCTGTTAACGTGTTCCTATTAAATTCTATCCTCATATTTATATGCGGACTATAAAGGTGGATATAATTTCTTTATAGCGATACTACAACGCCATCTATCTGTTTTATTTAATACTTTCTCCTAGTGCTACCAGAGGTTTTCTGTTCACTGATTCCTGAATATATTTTGACTTAAATCATAATGTTTTCGAGTTGTAATGCTTAGAAGCTTTAGTTGATTTAACGACGATAGAAAACAATCATCTTCCTTTACTTAGCCGCATATGGTTTTTTAAACCTTAAGGTCATATCGTTTCTTGAGAGCACAATGGATAACAATGTCTTGTTAAATAATATGTGCAGTTCAAATATACAGTTATTTTATACAGGTTAAAAGTATACAAAAGTTTAGCTTCAAATATCTCGATCCTAACATCGTTCTAGTTGAAATATTTCGATCGCTCGCTCACGCCCAGTTTGACAAATGTCCTGCGACCTGCGAAAGCCACAGATTACAATTTCATATTTTATCCGTCAGTTTCCAGTTTTTCTGTCATATGTCCGTCGGTAACTTTTTATTGATACAATTTTAACAAAACACATTTTCTTATTTACGGAGAACAGCTTAAATACGTATGCAGTTTACCGTTGTTTGACAAATGTGAATAAGGGTGATAGGTTAGTTATTGACCCTTGGCGTTAGTTGCTCACTATTTTGGCGTCTGTCACTTTAATTCGTTGGCAGATGAGAAAATCTGTCCTATGTACTTTATTTATTTACTTTCTGATTCGGTAAGCGCATTTTATTGCATTTTACTTCCTTTTCTTATTGGATGCCTTAAAAGGTACAACTTCTAAAATTTTAAATAACACAAAGTAGCGAAATTCAAAGTAAGTCTATGAAACGTTTTGGTAAAGCGAAAGCGTTACGCCAGCAAAGACCCTGATATTTTCATAGAGAAAAACAAACCGAACGTCGCGTTACGGTAGCAACCTCGATCGATGATTTTTTTATGCAATATAACTTTCGAACTACATGAAAAAATCACTGTTTTGTGTAAAAGAAACATGATGGCCAACAACTATAGCTATGCGCCTATTTTTTCATACTTATTTTTAAACAGCAAACCATCTTATCCTTACTTTTGAACCTAAAGCCAATTTTTTCTCGTAAATTGCTCTTTTAATATTATGCTTATATTTGCTTTTAATGAACTAAAATTAATTTGTTAACTAAATAACTTTACAAGTAAAATATAATCGTAACATGCAAATTATGTGTTCATACCAACTCGTGTTTGTACGTCTCTACGTAACCACGGCGAGGCAGAACTATTTTGACCGCATGAATAAATTTATGAGTTTATCTAGGAGGCCTTCATAATTCACTGCACTAAATTCAGATAAGCTGTCACACTGCACGTGTGTAAAATACTAATATTTGTTGTCCTTTTAAAAACATAAAAATGTTAGATATTGTGAACTTCTACTATTCTCTTGCCGTATTTCG